CGCCATTCTTTAGCTCTGGGCCCCCAGGGTCTTGTACTCAGTAGTCCCTTCCAGAAGGCAGGACAGTGGTGCTGTCCACTACAAGGTTATGTCCATCCCACAACAGCAGTTCAGTTACATGAGCTCTGCTGCCCCCCTTCAGCTGAGAGGATAGGCTGGGAGTCGAGGGTGTGTGGAGGTGAGGGGCTCCTTTGTGTCACTTTGCAGAATGTTCTGGTCCAAAAGCTGCCCGCAGGCTATTCTTCCATCTCGTGGAGATTTCCATTGCTTGAACCCTGTGCGAGCATCTTTCTTGAGACGCTTAGAATTGATATTTTCCTTCTTTAAGTTTGGAGTCCCAGGAAATGGTATTTTAATATCTGCATTGAGTTTGGCAGATTATAGAAATCCATATTGTCTGCTGGGGTAGGGAATGCTACTCCTCCCTCCTACATAACATCGCATAATTATAGAGATGTTCAGAGCCAGAAAGAAAAGAGGAGAAACAGGAACAAAGACAGGCCTCCCCAAGAGTCCTCGGGGCAGGGGAAGCCTATTTTGAATCACTGCTGGGAATAACTAGCCCCTGCCCCCAGTACACATGTGTGGGGTAGGGTGAGTGGGAGACTTGACATGCCCCCAGAATCCTTTTCTCTCTGTTCCTCACAAGGGCTGTGGCTTAATACAAGGAAGGTGTAAAATGCTGGTCTCCTTCCATCCTAAATACAAGTCAATGGTACCTGTCACAAACAAAATGGCTTATCTTGCCACCACTCAGCCAGAGACCTCGTCCAGGGATCAGCACCTTCCCCAGTCTCAGAGCCAACTCAAATCCACTCAGTTCAGTATACACATAACCACAGAGTGGGTTTTTAACTCCTTCACCTTTCAGTAGTCATTGACCCATTATTCCGACCTTTGTAAGTGCCTGATAGATGCAGAAACCTGTGCTTACACAGTCTGCCTGTGGGGAGCTGGACTCTAGAGGTGGCCTTCAACACTCCTTAGCTTTCATCTTGTGTGTGTGTGTGTGTGTGTGTGTGTGTGTGTGTGTGTGTGTTTTAGGCACAAGTCTGCCAAAAATAATCTTTATTCATTTTATCCATCCAAACCATTTCAAGCCTGGAGAGATGTCTAAACTGGTGTCTCTTCCCCACACTGTCCGACATGACTCGGGGCTGCTAAACCACTTTAGGTAACACTTTGAGGAGTTTTTGTTTGTTTGTTTTCAGCTTTTGTCTTCCTGAGTGACTTCAGCAAGGGACTCAGGTACTCCAAGGGTGCTTCCATCTAGAAGCAGGAAAGCTGCAGATCTAAGTCAGAGCTACAGGGGTCCACTCACCTTCGGATTCTCCCAACCACGATCTTGAACAAAGGCTCTAGGTAGGACTTTCCCAAGTCCACCTTCCGTTGAAACACATTCATTTCTGAGTCCGGACACTCTAGTTAACCTTTTGGAATTCTGTCATGACCAGAAATTGTGTGTGGTCCCAAAGGTAACAGAATAAGACAATTGAGATGAGGACGGTCTCTTAGAGACCCTTGCTTTGCATCAGCGAGGAAGCTGCAATGGATTGTGGGTGACCTCCCTTCCTGAGACTCTGCTAAAAGGAAGTGCTGCAGGATGCCTGCAGGATGTGGGTACCCAAACAGAAGCAGCTGCCTCTGGCACTTCCTGCCTCTCTCCCCTGGTCTTGTTACAGTTCAGGGAGTCCTGGTCCTGTGACCTTGCCATAATGGAGTCGCTCCTTCCCAGTGATGGACAGGCATTGCCTACTGCTTTTCTCTTGGCATATAATCAATAAAGACAATCAAACAATACAAAACAGCAATAAACAATAAATATTTAAGCAACAGCCTGTCCCAGACTCCTTCAGTCCACAGACTAAAGATGATCAGTTTTGAACCCAGGAATTCTAGGAAAGATGCAGTTTGAGCTTATTCAGATCCCCATGGCCACACCACCATTGAAGTGAAAATGATGGTATTAATTAAAGGTGGCAACGCAATGATAATGGAGAATTTTCTCTCCCCTGCCCTCTTCCTGACTCTCAATGCCTCTGAAATCTGCACAGATGAAATATAAGGATATGAGGTTACATAGAAAAGGCCAGAGCATCAGTTCTCCAAGTGTGCTCTGGGGATCCCTGGGGGTCCCTGAGACCCTTTTGGGAGGTTTTCATAATAACCCTAAGATGTTTTAATGTCTGTTATGGTAATTATCAATAAGTACCACCTACATAAACAAAACCTCAATATTTTTTAAGAATGTAAATGAGGTGTGTGACTTAAAAGTTTCACCACTGTTGGGTTCAGGAAATGCTTCCATCACCTGACTTTACCAGTGTAGCACAGACCCTCTAGAAGGTAAATGGAGCAGTGGCTGGAGCCCAGCGTGTGGGGCACGACATCTTGAGTTGGGGTCCAGCCGAGGCCTCTCGCAGTCTTGTGTGGGCTGGCAACTCACCTAACCTCTCTGGGCCTCAGTAAAACCAGAAGGCAGGACCAGATGACCTGGGAGGTCCCTTTTGTCTCTAAAGCTGTCATGCTGGTACTGTCTACAAGAGCATTTGTCAAGCCTCCTTGAGCACCTTAGATCTCCTTAGTTCTAAGTGCCTGGAAGACCTGATCCCCTTCTGGTATTGACTACCATGGGCCAACAGACTCAGGGATCACAGAACTGCAGAGTGGGAAGGGGCTGCTCCCCGCTTCTATATCCTACCAAATGGCTGAAGAATTCTTCTGCCTGCAGAACCTCAGAGCTTCCAAGGCAGGCTGTGCCATGATTGCACTGCTCTGAGAGGTTTGGAGCTTTCTCTAATGTAGTGCCCAAATCTGCTGCTCTGCAACTTCCACTCATTTCTTCTGAGGGCTCTCCAGGAACTAGCGGGAAGGTCTAAGACTTCTTCCACATGGGGAGCCTTCAAATATTTGAAGGCAGCTCTCTGTATCCCCTAGACTGATCCCGATCAATCCCTTCAATCTTTAGCCAAGCCTTGCTTTTGAGTGACCATCCTGGTCACTGTCTTCTCTGCCTACTCCTCCAGCCATAGTCTGACCACAGACTCAAACATCTCTTGTTCAGGGCACTGGGCTTCTTTCTATGCAGTGTAGGCTTGTATCACCTGTTTTTGGCTGCCATGTTACCTGGGAAAACCCGGTGGGTTCTGTATTCCCAAGGCTGGAGGCAGATCCAGATAGTCATTTTCTTACATCTTCAAGGCTAAACTGTTCTTGTCTCCTCTGCCCTCTGGGGTCATATAGAGAAGAGGAGGAAAAGAAGGGTGTACCTCCTCAGGGACCCCATTTCTCCCCTCTAAAGATTCCAGATGCAAGAGTGTGGGCTCGGGGAAGTGATGGAGTGTGTGACCCACCAAGATCGCCCTATGGGACTTATTCCATCCATCCCAAGTTATTTGAGAAACAGACAATCTCTTTACCGCTCTTCCAGGAGCCTCATACCCCATTTCTCCTTTGCCTTTTGGGAAATGCCCCATCATGTCCCTTTGGAGCAGCACCTTTCCCTCTTGCCCCTAAAAGCCTGAACAACATTCCCAGGCAACCATGGGCAAAGAGCCAACTTCTTCTGCCCTCTTTTCTCATGACTGTTATAAAACCCCAAATAATAGACTTCAGTGACAGGTTTTTAATAGAAAATGTGTGAAAGCCACAATGATCTATTTACTCATTGTTACAAAGCACAGGTGAAAAATGAGCCACATTCCCAGATGAATCCCAAATGAATCCCTTCACCTGCACACTCTACTCCAGAGTGGCTGTGATTATTGAAAATTCTCTCATTGTAATTCGAGTAATTAATCCCCCATGTCATTTGCTTTATAAGCTTTTGACTTTTCAAAGCTAACTTCACGAAGAGGCCCTTTTGCCTCTTTATTTGTGCATTTATCTGGAACTGGGGAGTTTGCAAAATGGAAAACTCTCTAATGACTTGTGGGATTCCAGAGCTCCTTGTAAATGACCCTGGCTCCCTGTTTTCTGAAGTTACACAGGTCGGCCAGTAGGGGAGCTGCTTCTAGCTGCTGGGTCTGGGGGTTTTCCCCCATGCACTCTTGCCTTCACTCTTGGTACTTTCAGGTAGAGGGGCAAAGGGGCATCTGAAAACCATCTGGTCTCTCTAGCCAGGACAGAGACTGCTTGTGCCTGGCCATGTGCAGCCAGGAGGGGCCTTCCTTCATCAGAATCAGGAGATCAATATTTCAAATTCAGTAAAATCTAGAATCACAAAAGCATATAGACATGCTCAACATACTCAAAATTATTTAAAAACCTGTGTTCTTCATTCATGTAAAATAGCAAGATTCTCTGAATTCTGCATTTCTCTTCAGTGAACCTTTTTCTTGGAATCCCTTGGAAAGGACTTGAGTAGCTTCCTAGGCCAAATCCTACCCAAAGCACAAGACAATTCCAAGAGGATCAGGCCCCAGGGGTGGGCCAAGTGCTGTCTTCCATGGTCCAAAGCCACAAGGACAAAGATGAAGTCTTCCCTGCCCTCAGGGAGCTTCCTTATCCGGGCCGGCTTGAGTCCCCCTCCCTTCCCCCAGACCCCCTGTGGGAACAGCTCTCACCATTGGAAAGTTTTTCCTGACACTGGACCTAAATCTGCATCACTGCATCTCTCTCTCTGTCTCTCTGTCTCTCTCTCTCTCTGCCCCACCCCTTTTGCCCTTTGAGGTCAAGCAGGAGAAAGCTAATCCCCCCTTCCACAGCATCATTGCAGACAGTTGATCACAGCTGTGGCACACCCCTTCCCAGTCTCCTCCTCAGATTTTACAAGCATCCAGCCAACCCTGTAGGGCAGGCCTGAGCTGCCCCTCTCCACCCTGGGTCTTCCCAAAATGGTTCCTGGTCTCCCCTTCCGTTGTGGTCATATTGAGGAGAGGAGACAAGACAACAGAGGAGGAAAAGGATGAGTCTGCCATGGTGGCCTCCTGCTCCCCCTTCCCATCCCCCATCCCCTGCCCACCTTACCAGCCCCCTCCCCAACCCTGGAAAGTACTTACTTGAAATAAAACAAGATCCCAAGCGAGCCAAGGAGGGAGGCGATCGACAGGGTGTGTCCCACGATGGCCATGTAATAGAGGATGTAGGCAGCCTGAAAGAGAAGGAAGCCGTCATTAAGGCCTGTCCAACCCGCCAGCCCAGCTAAGGGCCTTGCCCTTTGAAGGGCAGCCCTGACCCCAGCCCTTCCTAGGGAGGCTTTACCGGCTACCACCACTCAATCCACCCATGGCCAAAGAAAAACTGGCCTCTCTTGTGACTCCCTGCATGGCCCCTCTGAGGCTGCCTGGGGAAAGGGTGTGGAGGGGTGGGAGTGGGGAGTTGCTCACTCTCTAAAGAGCTTACAAGAGCTATTTGGACTTTCACATTACCCTGCCCCAGCAGGGCATGCTTGGATTGCAGAGAATGATCTGGCACTGGCAAACCATTTTGCCTCTGTCTTGACGTCTTGCCAAGGTCCTGCCTGAGAGCAGAAGGGAGGCATGAAGGAGCCTTGGCTGTGAGCACAGGCTGCTGTGCCCTTGCTGAACCCATGAATTAGCTGGCTGTCATGGTCAAGAGCTATGGAGCTCTGGGGTTCTGGGGGAAGTAGGCTTCTCAGCTCAGCTGTTCTTCATTAAGTCTGGTTCTGTTCCGCCAAAGAGGCCTCGATTTATTTCTTCCTGCATACTTGGATGTGAGAGAGCTTAAAAGCCTCTCTTGTTTCTTCCTACCCCTGACCCCTCCTTCAAGGCACCCTCTAGGGTCACAGCTGCTAGTGGAGCCAAGCCCGTCATCCACTCTGCTTTGGCACCAGCGCCTTATGGTGGAGGAGGAAGGAGGGGAGGAGAAGGGGGCACTTCCTTTCCACCATCAGCTTCTGCAGCTCCCTTAAGGCAGGCCGCTACTCGCTGCCTTCCACTGGCTTAGAGCCGACCTTGATGTGTTGGGGAGGAAGCACGTCTCCCTGTCAGGTTACTGGGTAACACCCTTCTTCCCCTCTCTGGACCTCAGCTTCACCCCCTGTGAAATGAAGGGACTAGCCCGTGAAGCCCAGGATGGCTCCTAAAGATTCCAGATCTGCGGTCCCTTGTCCAGCTTCCTGTCTGTACTTTCAGTGGAAAGAATGAACAGTGAGGCTGGTCCCAGTGGGGCAGTTGGCCTACATGTGGCTAAGCCCCAACTTTGCAAGGACATTCATCTTCTTCACCAACTGGAGCTGCTTTTTAAAGTTCTCAATGGACTGATGCACAGGGCAGGAGTCTGTCCTTCGAAGACTTCTGGGAGTAGCTTGGTGAAAGTAGCCCGAGGCCCTGGCCAGCACCACTGGCCCCGTGTCCCCACCTGCTGGCCTCCTCCTCCAGGCCCTCCTGGATGGCCGCTGGGCCTCACCAGGTCATCAGCAGCTCAGAGTGCTCCTAGAGCAGAGCAGCAGAGTAGAACTGAAGGTAGGGAGGGGGATAGACAGACAAGCGTGACCGCAGGGGACAACGACAACTGCTCAGACCCTGTCTGACCTGAGGGATGTGAGGGAAGCCAAGGTCAACAGGAAGGTGGGGGGCGGGAGTCTCCTTGGGCTCTACTGGGCAATGGCTGGGGAGGATGGGGGAGAGGCAGAGCTGCTCACTGGTTTCTACTTTTTCTCCCAAGGAGACTGATGTTTGGTCCAGGGAAGACCGAACTAAAAGCCTTAATGGGGAGTTGCTAGCCAAGAGAAAAAGGGAAAGCAAAGAAGAGCCCTGAGTTCCCTTGGCCCAGATTGAGTCACATGGCCCAGATACATTAATGACATCTTTGAGTCCTGAAAGAACTGGCAGATATGATTGCTTCGAGCTTTAAATGGTAGGGCTGGTTCAGAAAATAAGGCCCCAATTTTCGAGAGAGAGAGAGAGAGAGAGAGAGAGAGAGAGAGAGAGAGAGAGAGAGAGAGAGAGCGCGCGCAAGAGAACAGAATCTTCAAATTATAAGCCAGTGAGTTTGACTTTGATTCTTGGGAAAATTCCTGAGCAGATTATTAATGGTGAACTCCAGCGAAAGAAAGCAGTGACCCCAAAGTACCTCAGTGGCTTCATCTAGAGCAGGGCATGGCAGACTCAACTATTTTCCCTTCTTCATGGCAGACAGGTAGATGAGGGGGAGGCTTTAGGAAAGAATTATTCTAGTCTTTGACAAGACATTTTACAAAATATTTTATGCTATTTTTGGGAAAAGATGGAGACTAGATTCAACTGGGCAGACTGAAACTGGCTGGGTCTAAAGCATGGTCTTTACTGATCTGACTTGTGGGCAGTGTAATGTCCAATGACTCAAGAGTCTTCTCAGTGACTTACAAGAAGACAGAGAGGTCGTGCTGAGCAGCCTCCCTCATTTGATCTGCCCAGCCCAGATAGGTACAGTCCTGGGTCTCTCCTTTTCAAGGCTGTCTCCACTGGGAGTCTCCACTCCCTCTCCTCTCGCTGTCTTCTAAGACCTCCGCCTTCTGGCTCATGACCTCATCCTACAGCGGTTACCGATGACCTCTTAGTGGCCAAACCTGATGGCCTTTTCTCAGTCCTCAGACTTCTCGACCCCTTGGCAGCCTCTGAGCTAGTTGATCGCTCTCTTCTCCTGGTCCTCTCTCCTCTCTCTCCTGGCTCTCCTCCTACCCATCTGACTGCTCCTCATTCTCCTTAGCTGGATCTTCCTTCAGGTTGTGACCACTAACCATGAGTGTCCCTCAGGGCTTGGTCTGGGCCTCTTCAGTCTTGCATCACTAGCTGCCTATTGGATTTCTTGAACTGGATGTCCTATTTCAAACTCAACATATGCAAAACAGAATTCACCTTCCCTCTGAGACCTCCCTTCTTCCCAGATTTGCTATTACTATCAAGGGTACCACCATTCTTCCTGTCACCCAGGCTTGCAACCTAGGTATCAGCCTCAATCTCCCAACCTCACGCCCCATGTCCAATTAACTGCCAAGTCTTGTTATTTCTACTTTCACTACGCCTCTTGCGTCTACCCCCTTGTCTCCTCTGGCACTGTCATGGTCCTGGCACAGGCTCCTGTCACCTCCTACCTGGACTATTGTAATGACCCGCTAGCTGGTCTCTCATCTCAAGTTTCTCCTCACTCCAGGCAATCCTCCGCTTGTCTGCTAAAGTGATTTCCTGAAGCATGGGTCTGATCACTCTCCACTCCACCCTAGCCTTGCCTACTCCGTAAACTTCATTGGTCCCTATCACACCGAGGGCGAAAAATGTTCTTATCTTTAGCTTTCAAGCCCTTCACAACCAGTCTTTCTTACCTTTCCAATCTTTTCACACCTTACTCTCCTCCACATAGTCTGTGATACAACGGCACCAACCTCATTATGGCTCCTCTCCCACAACCCTCTACATCCTGATTCTACACTGCCTTTGGCTGTCCTTGAGCTTAGGGTACTCTCCCTGCTCTATGTCCTGGCTTCTCTGGCTTCCTTTAAGCTCATCTCAGATCTTGCCTTCTTCAGGAAAGGCTTTTTCCTGGTCTCCCTTAATGAACATGCCTTCCTGAGACTGTCTCCCATTTACTCTGTATAGATCTTGCTGGTCCATAATTGTTCGCATGTCGTCTCCCCCATCTGAATGTGTGAGGCCCTTGAGTCTCTTGAGGGACCATATTTTGACTCTTCTCTGTATTTTTGCCACTTAGCATGGTACCTGTCCACAGCCCTCGGAGGAAGACAATGCTTCCACAAAAGACACCCCCATTGGAGATGAGAATGCCATTTTACCCAAGTCCTGCTCTGGAGTCTACCTGCTTGGTCAGTGGGCACAGTTTGGGATTTCAAATGGCCAGGAATTCCCTGTCTCCTGGTGCAATCCGGGTCAAGCATGCCAGAGGCACCAGGGGTCTGTGTTCTGGTCCTATTAGGAGATAATTGGGTCATATCACTGCTTGGGGAATCTCTCTTCACCGGTGGGTCCACTGCCATGGGAATAATTGGTTTTTATGTGAAGATGACAAAGTTTCAAAGCTGGTAATATATTTTCTCTAATAACAAATAATTAATTTCTCTAATAAATTCTAGTAATATAGCAGTGGAAGCCACTAACAAATGTACTTTAAAAACAAATCCTTGCAGTCCCATCTTCTTCCTTGGGGCCTCGGATTTACAGCACATTTTCCTCTGCAACTCTTAGAACCCCAAACATCCTTGGGAAGCAGGGCTTTTTCACAGGTCAGTTCTCAGATTAGTATACTGCGTACAGTTCTCACCAAGAGAAGGTATTTGGGCCCATGCAATCATTCACTTGACAAGATGCTTCTCCTGGTGTCTGTTCTCTCTCAGCTGAGGCCCCACTTCACAGTCCTCCCTCAGTCTTTGCAGTCAATTCAACAGGAATCCGTGTCCAAGTTGGGTGGGGATGGGGCCTGCCTCCTCTTTGTCCCTCTCCTGAGGACTCCATTTTACATTTCTTCCTCTTGGAAGTCCAGTTTGAGTGGAGATGGGGATCAGAGATATTCTGGCTGACCTGTCTTCATCCTTCTTCTAAGATGGCATTGGCTCTAATTTTTGCTCTAAGTTGCTGACATAGGACTGTGGCTGGACAGCTCATTCCCTGACTGCCCCCTTATCCATCACTAGTCACTTCTGATCAGTTCACATGCCACTGATTTTTGTGAAGGACGATGGCTATCATGCCCAATGCTGTCTCTCCTCTGGAAGCAAACCTTCGTGAAGTTACAAACACGAGGCTTCTGGGGCATCCACACCTCTGCGCCTCTTTGGTGTCTTCATTCCAAATCACTGGGCCCATGTCCCTTGTGTGTATCCACCTTTGCATGGAAGGCACTGAGGGGCAAGATGGGTGGGGGGGGAGAGCTTGGTCTGGAAGGTCTCACTGGGTGCTTCACTTGCTTCTGTCTCCCCTGGGACAGATGCCCACCCCACGTGCTGCTCCTCCTGTTGTCCACTCATTCCTGCTCATCCTGATGATGTCCAGGGTAGACGGACAAATGTCCTGTGAAGTGAGGCTTCCTGCTGCATTTGGGGTGCTCTTCCTTTCCCTTCTGGGGAGAGCCTGTTATCCCATCTTGCTGGGAATCTGCCACCAGGGCCGTTGATTCTTGTCCATTGCAGACAGTCTTAATCCTCGGCCAGCCTTTACATCCTCTTCACATCTGCATTTCATTAAAGGGCTCATGCATCTATTTGTGAGATTCATCCTTGTTGTGATTCTGTGGGCCATGGGTCCCTCATTTGTTGCTGCTGGCTCGTTCTCACGTGGGAAGGCGTGAGAGAAGCGTCTGGGGCTGCGCTGCCCAAGGGGCTGGGCCTCTAGGGTTCATTCCATTGAGGTTCTTACTGCAGGAGTCCTAGACTGGCATGTGGGGAACACAGACAGGGTTGCCATTCAAGGTGGCCTGAAACCTGGGCTGGGAGCTGTGTGCCGGTGTCCCAGAGTCTGTGCACTTGACTCTGTCACTCTTGGCATTTGCAGCATGTTAATCAGCACGCGATGACTCAGGGAGTGTGCCATTTTAATTAGACCAGGCTAGTTAAACAGCTTTCCATTAGGAAGTGGGATCTAATGCAATTGGTTTCTCAAGGGTCACTGAGCCATGTGCCAGCAGATGATGGGCTCTGGCCCCCTCTGCCATGCCCACACGCTGCCTGTGCCGGGAGATGCTTGTCAGACCTCTTTACCGTCTGGTCGGCCGTTAAGATTTTCTTCTGAATAAAAACAAAATTCCCCCCTCCCCCACCCTGACTCTGAGACTTTCTGGATAGCCCAGAAAGCCCAGAGTGTTTCCATCCCAGACTCAGTACTTGAGTATGCTGGTTGAGTGTGATGGGACTGACGTCCTGTTGCCTCCCCCAGGAGCTATCAGGAATCTCGGGTGCCAGTAACAGGCACTGACCCGTTTTTCCTCTCATAGTCAAATTCTGCTCCCTGCTCTTCCCAGATTTTTATCACCCAACAGGTTCTCTGCTTTCCCCACTGGTTGGCTGAGTGGGCTCCTTTCCTAGCACCTGGTACCAATTTGTTAATGATATTCACTTTGCAAATTGATAGCACCTAGAAGTGTTTCCTGATCTTTCTGTTGGAGAGGCAGTGTGGCGCAGTGGAGAGTGAACAGGTCTCAGAGTTAAGATGGTCTGGGCTCAAGCCTCGTCTCTGATGCGCTCTGGCTGTGTGACTCTGAGCAGGTAACTCAGGCCAAAGTCACTCTCTCAGACTGTACACAAGAGATTGTGTGCTTGTCTTCAGCGGAGGCGGTGGGAGAGGGCAGTTTCCAGTCTGGGAATTCTGCACTCTGATGCTCCTCTCCACATGATCCTCTCCATCTCCACTGACAACTGCCCCTTAGTCATCACAGGGCAGTGACTTGGGGCATCACTGAGGCAGACTTTGGGTAAGGGGCTGGTGTGGGGGAGGGGTCTGTCTCTTTCTGACCCTCTGCTGGCGGGCCAGCAGAAGCCAAGCTGTGGCCTGCTGGCTTCCCCAGAGCCACAGGAGGGGCTGCAGCTTTGGCCCTGCTGGCCCCTGGGAGGCCCCTGGGAGGCCACCTCTGCTAGGGGCCAGAGACTGAGCTCACCTTCAGCTTCTCTGACGTGAATGAGTTGCACAGTGTGTAGTTGGACCAGGTCCGGTTACTCTCAGGGTGTTGGAACCAGTTCCCATGTTCGTCACAGTACTTGGAGGCCTGTTCTGTAAAAATGAGGCATAATACGAACAGGTTAGTTCCCAGCAAGGCAGGAAGGGGAAGCTGATCTGCTCCAAGGGGCAGAGGCATCTGAGGATGACCTCTTCCAGACTGACCAGAAGTAAGGCTGGCAGAGACACTGTCCTCTGCTTCCTGACCACAGACTTTGGGGGTTGGCACTAGGGGCGGCAGCATTGCTGATTGGGCTTTCTTTAGGACTGCCCATTTTTAGGACAAAGACGGGGAACCCAGCAGGGATGTCAGAGGTTGGCCCTCTGGCCTCTCCTTTACTTGAACCCACAACCGTTCCCCTCCCTTCTGGAAGGAACTCTGGAGATTGGCCTCAGCTGCTCTGATGCCTGATGTCTTGGGGATTCAGTGGGGGTCATTGAGGGGGACCCTGCCTTTGGGACCCTTGGGTCAGGCACCTACTTGAACCCTGTCCTGGCTGATGTTGGACACGCAGAAAAGCGAAGTCACTTCTCCAGGCTAAAAAGCTGAGAGGAGGCTGCGGGGTGGGGGTGGGCCAAGAGGTCGCCATGGCAACAGGATGCAGGTTCAGACAGTGCCTGGAATGGGGAAGCAGCTCTGCCTTCTCACAGATGTAAAGGGCACTGAGCAAGCAAAGCTCGGAGATTGGGAGGCTCCTGCATTAGTGGCTTTCAGAGGAGTTGGGTGGAAACCAAAGAAAGGGCCAGTCAGCGCCAGATATCTCTGTCTCTTTTCTCCTCTCTGTGTCTTTGTCTCTCAGTGAAGGAAAAGCATGGCGCTCCTTTGCTCCCACCAAATCGGTCACTCCTGAGACCATCTGAACCTCTCCAGCCCAGAATCGGCAGAGACCTCAGAGCACTCGGTCTGACCTTCACTTGAGCCAGCACGTCCTGTAGAAGGTGCCTACCCGGTGTGCCCAGCCTCGCCCTGCAGCCTTCCAGTGGGGAGGGGGAAGCCCCCTGAGCTGACTCCTTCCCTGTGGGGACAATTCTTCTCCAGAGAAAGCCTGTGCAGACCTCTAGCTGAAGTCTGTCTCCTTGCAGCCTAATCCTGTGGATCATGGGTCTGCCCAGGGACCAGGGTCCCCATGACGGCCTCTCATCTCTATATCTCCGAGGTAGCTCTTGGCCCCACCCCTCCTGGCATGTCATACTCCATGGCTTCTCCAATAAGGCTGGATGAACACAGGAGGCCATAAGGGCAATGGACACTCCCCCTCAAAGGTCCTGGCAGAGTGGTCCCCGTATAAGAGCAGTCCTATAAGCCCAACTCTCCAACTTTTTGGCCTAGTCAGGAGCAAAATGTAGGCTCCAACCAATGGCCATGCCTCTGCTTTGGCCTCTGTAGGCTTGGTCAGGGCCATCCCAACCCCTGAACAAACAGGCTTAGCATCAGGCTTCATCAGTGGTTTGCCCCCAGGTACTACTTGCTTGGCTGGCCTGACCTCCTGGCCCCAGAGGAGGCAAGATGGATACTGCCCCCAGGGTCAGGAGAGGCTTTGGGTCAAAGTCTGCCTGTGGTGCTTACTAGCTGTGTGACCCTGGGTGGGTCACTTCTGATCTTTGGGTCTCAGCGTACTGATGAGGGAGATAGAGGAGAGGGATAAGACGACCCCTGAGGTCTCCTGTCGAGCACGTGGGTGGGACATCTGTCAGGGACAGGGATGTGCTCATGCCAGAATCCAAGAACAAGGGACAGCCATGAGTGCCAGAGACAACAGGCTAAGGTAGGACGTCCCTGCAGTGGCCCAAAGCTTTCTCCACACTAGCCAGGGAAAGTGTGCTACAGGGATCGGCATGATGCCTCCTTTGGGGCATGGCCGAAGCATTGGCACCTTGGCCCAGACAGTCAGGGAGTCGGTCAGGTCCCCTCCCCCCACCTTCCCCGTGAGAAGGAGGTCACACCCTCGAGACCAAACGGAGAGCTCACTCCCCTGAACCCCCGGCACTCACAGTCCCCATGGCTCATCTCGTTATCAGTGTTATTTCTGGAAACCTTTAGGCTTTGGTTCTGGGGAGCACAGTCCCTCTTGGACCACCCTCCCTTTCCCTCTGCCTGAAGGCTCCAACGTCCTCCTGGCCAGATGTGGCAGCACAAGGGAGCCCTTTACCTGTCGGGTCAAAGTCGGGGAAGTAGTCGGGACAGTTCTGCACAGAGACCTTCCCGGCAGGCGTATCGTCCCAGCACAGCCACCCATCCCAGGTACGGTTACAGAACAGACCTGGGGAGGCAAGATTAGAAAAGGCCCTGCCCTGAGACCGCCTGGAGCCTCCACACCTCGAGAATGGAAGAGGCCAAGGGTGGACTGAAACACCCCTACGTGGAGGGCCGTCGTCCTCCGCAAAGACCTCCTGCAGCTCCTCATGGGAGCTAGGGACGCACTGGGGCCAAGAGAATCCCCTGAATGCCAGCCACTGGGGGCCAGGATGGCTCCTCCACTCTGGGCTACCCCTGCCCCGGGGAGTTCAGGAAGCTTGGGCTCAGGGGGGCTTCGAGGATGAATGGGAAGGATTCTGTTGCCTCTAGTCCAGCTCCAATTATCCCCAAGGACCCCCCACTACCACACAGGGGCCTCTTTGGGAAGGCTTGCTGGGAGCAGGAGCTGATTAGTTCTCAGGTAACCTGCTCCACTCTGGGGCAGCCCTTGTTTAGGAGGATTTTCCTTCTGTTGACCCTGAATGGGCCTCTGTGATGTTGCCCCAGTTCTGCTCTCTGGGACCAAGCACAACAAAGCTCATGGCAGCCTTTCAGACACTGGAAGGGGGCTCCCCTGCCCCCTCCAGCCTCTGCTCCAAAGGAGCTGCGTTAAGCTGTGTGCTTTTGTTGACATGGCCACGATCCCTGCTGAGCCTCACAGCGGCAGGAGGAGAGCAGTACTCCAGGCGCCAAGACCCCCTTCTACGCAGCAGGGAACTGAAGTTCAAGGTTCACTGGTCAAGGCCACACAGTTGGGAAGGGTTTTCCTGACCTCGAATTTCAGTCTCTCAAGTCGAGCTCTGGCTGACCCTGGATATGAAGTCAGACTCTGTCTCTGCTGTCTTTCTGTCTACCCATTTGTCTATTCGTCTCTTTCTCTGTGTCCCCCCTTTTCCTCAACAGTGGCTTGTATCAGATTTGCAAGAATTTGTCAACCTGGATTATGTTGAGAAACAAAAGGAGATAATTTGGAGCCACAAATTAGGGTCTGGAAAGCCGCTGCACGAGTCCGTGAATCTGTCCGGGGCATGTTCCATCCCATCAATAGGGCCACTGTGCTTTGTGAAGGGTGTCCAACTGTGGCCCCACAGACAAGAGGGGAAACTCATGGCCTCCTTTTTCCTCTTGGCTGGAGCCTTTGCAAGGCTGCCCAACTTGTATCCCTTGGGCCAAGGAAGCCTGCAGACACCCACTGCCCCCAACTCCTCAGAGACCTGTCCCAACCCTACCTTCCCAAAGGCAAGCTGGGCCCAGGATTCTAGCCACTGTGTCCCAGGAGCCACGTGGTCTGTGAGGAGGCTTTTGGTTTCTGTATCTGTCTGGGGGAGACCTGAGGAAAGGGAAGGTCTATCCTGAGGAGCTCAGCCCAACATCTAGGTCTGACCTTACAAACTTGGGGCAGTGGGGTGGGAGGGAGGCCCCTTCCTGACCTCAACTTCTCAGCCCTGAGGCAGCTGAGGGAATGAGAGGCCCTGGCCCACGCCCCTGCCCCACCCGCCTTCCCCAGGGTTACCTGTTTTTTTGTAGGGAGGTTTGCTGTTCATTCGCTCAAAGCACTTGAACTGGGCATCCACAATCTTTTGGTGCTCCGGGGAGGCATCCGTGATGACCTCAGGCTCCAAGGTTGGCTCTGTGTCATTAAGAGTGGAGACCAGGCCAGAAGAGAATGTCTGTATAAAAAGAAAAGGGCATCGGTCAGCAGAAGGGTCTGGGCATGGTTGGATGGAAGGGCAGAACAGGCTTAGGAGACCTTAACCTCCCCTTCTTCCCCCAAGTATCTGCTGAGGATGTCCCACGCTAAGGAAGCTGCTCCCATCCTGGGCCACCAAAGCAGCCAGCTCTTGCCTCCCCTGGCATTGTTACCCTCTCACCCAATCCCTCCTCCCAGGGGCTGCACTTTCAGGTCTCAACTTGACCAGGGTGGGGAGGTGAATGGTCTATGACATCTGGGACAGCTGAGGAGGCCACTACTCCTCATGCAGGGGCGGGAGAGTAAAGGCAGTAGATGGATGTGCTAAGTGAGGAAGAGGACTGGAGTACGTGTGGAGATAATGCTGACTGAAGATGCAGACAGAGGATGGGCGCAGGTTGTGAAGGCTTTAAACGCCCCAAAGAAGACTTTATATTTCACCTTAGAAGTGAGGGGAAGCTGGTAAAGCTCCTTCAAGACAAGGGTTACCTGAATTTTGGGAAAGTCACTGTGGCAGCTTGAGGACAACTTGCCTGTCCTCGGTTATGGCTGGTCCCACCCCCCTCTACTCACACACTCACCCAGTTCACATCCACTCACAGTCCCTTCCCTATCCCCATAGTCACACACATCTATCTTTGAAAATGAGCTATGATAACCAGAACAATTAACTAAGGGTTATAAAAATGGATTAAACTGTAGATACTAATAATGTGCAGGATGTAGGAAGCGGGGCAGGAAGGATCACCCCTCCCCCCACCATGCAGCTATTGTCATTCATAGTCCAGATGGGAGGTGATGAAGGTCTGCACCAGGGTGTCAAAGGAGAGGAGGTGGCATATTGAGAGATGCTGCGGAGGGGAAATCGACAAGCTTTGACACCATATTGTTTATGAAGATGAGAGTTAGGAAGGAGTCCAGGATGCCTCCTGGGTGGGGAGCCCAAGAGATGGGGAGGACAGAGAAGCCCTGGGAAGTGGCAGGGAAGGTAGCAGGGGCAGGGCTTAGAGGGAAAGATAATGAGTTCAACTTGGCAAGATCAAGTAAGAATTGTCTCTAGCACACTTTGTGGGCCTTAAAGTCGGCTGGGCCTAAGACAACACTTGTGCTCGAGTGATGCATCTTGTCTCTGTCTCTGCCTGGGCCACAGCAGCAGATGGTGCCCAGGGAAGCAGCTTCTGGTCACAGAGGAGTGGCAGCACACCAGACCCTCCCTCTGAAAGTATTATGGTGTTAGCTATAGCCCCCCACCCCGGGAAAAGAAGCCCCAAGTAATGGTGTGCTGGGTCTCAGTTCAGTAACAAAGGTGAGTGTGTATAGGGGGTGTGCGTGCAGTATGCGTGCTCATGAGATTGTGATGGCATGAGCATATATATGTGAGGGTACATGGGGCTGCATGTACGTAAATGCATAAATGTGCGTGCACATATTTGTATATACAGCAGTTTACAGCCAGGTCCTGATTAGTGTGAATAATGAATCCTGTAAAGTGATTGCATTATTCAGATTTGCACTATTAAAAGTTATAATTGTATGTAAAATAAGGTAATTGGTTCCAGCTCTATGGAATTATTCAATGAAAAACTTTCAAACATAAGCTTTATCTGTTTACTAATGTAATATAACAGCAAAGGATAAAAATTATTTCTGTTCAAATTTATTAGAAAATAATTAAGCAGTTACAGAAAGCAACATTTTTAAAGTTTATTTTTTTTTAAAAATTGCTGAACCCTGAGATAAGCCTACACTGATGTGATGAAAATGTCACTATTTTTGTTTAAAGCATGTTAGCAGCCTAGACTGAACTGCCTTCCCTTTCTTTAAGCCTTCGTGCATATGCTGGTAGGTACAGAGAGCTTGACCCACGCCTGGAGCCTTGGACCCATGCATTCTCCCTGACGTCAGGGTCGCCATCCACAACACGTGGCCTCACCACTCCTCCCATTAGGAAGCTAGCCTCAGATTGTCCCCAGAGGGCCAACGTCTCCGTCTGCACACCTTTGGAGCCTTCCAGAACCTGCTGCTGATCCAAACGAAGGAGATCATCAGCAGGTCATTCTCACTCCCAGGCCGCCCTTTTCTAGTTGTTCCAAGCCAAGCTGTCTTCCCAGGTTTGTCATTTCTCCTATCACAGTCTGCTTTTCCAAGGGAAAACCTGCCCAGCGAGACATGCTTCCACATGGCAGCGGCTGTCTCTCCATTCCTCCAGCTGATTCTGCTTTTTAAAGGAACAGAAGTGACCAACACCTGTGGTAAAAGGGTCTTCACCATCACCTCGTGCCCTTTCCTTTCAGTGTCTGACGTACACTGGAGCTTTGATCCGAAAGGCTGTGCGTGCCACGGCGGTCTCTGATCGCCACAGCTAAGACGCCCGCCCAAGCCGTCCCTGTGACGCACTTCCTCCTTCTCGTGGCCACCAGGCTGCTGAGACATAGCCTTTCTTTTGGATTCCTCTTGCCTGTCTCTCCATGTTCCACATCACCCATAAGGCATTCCAACAGTGACGTGGACTTCTGTAATAGGAACCATAAAATTCCTTTTACTTATGATGACCACGTTCATGCTGTTCAATCACGTCACGTTTTTGTTCTAATGTAGTAATGAGCTTCTTTTTTGTTCTTGCACTGGCCACATCTCCATCTGAAGCCTTCTTCCTTTAGTCCATTTTGCTAAAGGCTTTTTTAAAAACAATAACACAGGGGCAGCTAGGTGGCACAGTGGATAGAGAACCTGCCCTGGAGTCGGGAGGATCTGAGTTCAAATTTGGCCCAGACACATAATACTCACTAGCTGTGTGACTTTGGGCAAGTCATTTAACTCCAATTGCCACACACACACACACACACACACACACACACACACACACACACACAAAATAACAATGACACAACTGTTGGTAATTGGGTAATCAGAGTAGCCCATCCCACCCACACAAGTGTGGCCTAAGGATGTAGTCAAGTGTTAAAACCCTTAACTAGCTTATACTCCTTACATTAATTGAATTTTGGCTCATCTTAAATGTGACTTGATATTTCATAATTCACATGAAACAGAACTTTGCATTATTGGAACTCACATCAACCGTGACCTAGTTGTATGTGTGTATATGCATATGTGTATGAGGTCTGTGCATATGGGCATAAGTATGTATGTGTATGGGGTGATGCGTGTCAGCGTGTGTGTGAGGGAGGCTGTGTTTATGTCGGGGCTACATGGGTGTGTCTGGACATTATTGCATTTAAGACTGCTTATGGAGATGGCATGTATATGGGCATGTGTGTGAATGTACATGGAGGCTCATGAATATGTACATGAGTGTGTGTCTGTGTGTGAGCATGTGAGTGTGCAGTATGGGAGGTTGTATGCATGTGTGTGAGGGCATGGGAGGGTCCGCGGGGGTGTATGTGTATGAGTGCTTGTGGGAGAGCATGGGCCAGGGAGGCTATGAACGGTTTAAATGGGATCACACAGCACTTGGATAAATGCATCACAATGACCTTCCTGCCAAGAGGTTCTGGCCATCCATACATGAAGCTGGGGGGGGGGGGGTGGGCAGATCCCTGGCAAGAACAGTCAGGCCCATTTACAGGGAGAGAAGGAAGATGAGTTGGTGGCCCTTGGGGCTGCCTGACAGAGGGTGCCATTTAGCCCTAACCAGCTCCCTCCCCCCCCATCAGAGCTGCAGGGGCGTGGGCCTCAGCCAGGATTCTGGGCGTTTGGAAGTGGAGAGCTGGCGGGCCTTCGCTGCCTTGTTCCTGAGAGTTCCTGAGAATCCCTCGGGAGGCTGTGGCCCTGCCCTGCCTGAGGCAGTCTGGTTCCTCAGCAGAGAGCCGTTCAACGGTGTCCCCTGCAGCGGGTTAGCAGCTGAACGCATGATGTCACTCCCCAAACTCCAGCCAATGATGTCATGCCTACCACCGCCAAGCCACTGCCTGGCTGCAGTGGCTACAGGGAGTCATTCGGCTGGAAGCATTGGTGGGAACCAGGCAGTGTGTCCCAGTGTGTGGGACAGAGTGTGCAGCTGGTCCCAGGGTTCTCGGGGAGCCCCTGCCAAGGTCTACCTCCAACAGTTGGTGGAGAAGTCATCCGCCATGGTTCTAGAGGCAGAAGCCCAGGACTGTTCCAATGGGAACTTGATCATGGGGTCCATCCTTCCAGTAGATTCAGTGAGAACACTGTGCCCATCAACCTCCATGAGTCAGTGGAAGGATGGAGAGTCTCTGGTCATGTATACAGGGACAGCTGTGGCTGTGCTATCCTGCTTGAGTCACTTACGCTGAGTCTCAATGTCCTCATCAATAAAACGGGGATCAGAAAAAATGAGGTCGTGTACATCCAGTGTTTTGAAGACCTTGAAGTACTCTACAAAATACTCTATGAACATCTGCTTTTGGTATTATTGTCTTCATTGGAAGGCGAGGATTAGTGTGTGCACCCATGTGTCCGTGTATGCATGCAATACATGTATGTACACACGAGCACAATGTATATATGTACCTTGTACATGTATGCACACACCCACATTTGTGTGCACATATATGTATGTATCCATGGACACATATGCACACAGGTATGTGCCCCCAGGCATATGTATATGTATGTACTTGTGTGCAAGCGTGTGCACACACCAGGCCAATGTGCTCATGGGTGTGGCAGGAATTCCCAAGAAATACCCTTTTACACAATTTTGGTAAAGATAAGCCACAGAGACACAGACTCTGGTGATTTGTGCCTCTTGGCACTTTGGATGAAGAGGGATTTTTCCTAAGGTGAGAGGGCTCACCTCTCGCAGCCCATTGCCAGGAGGCATCGCTGCTCCTCCCGGTGTGGGAACCAAGATTAAACCTTGCTGGAGATGAATTCTTGAGCATGATGAGAACTGGCATCCGTGGAGTACTTTTCAGATGTTAATATGCTCTTTGGATCTGGAAAGCACTTCTGGGTCGTTGGGGCTCCAGAAGTTGTGAACTCATCTCACAG